TTTTCTTGCGATACTGTCTGCATCATCTGTTTTAGAAAAAAGCTTTATCACGTGTATTACTTATTGGATTGGTTAATAAATTGAAGAAACTCGCTTAATTTGCATAAATATGGTTTTGCATATTTACGTTAGCGGTCGTATTTTCACCAAGAAAATGATCTGGCTTCTGACATGTTTATATTTGAATATATTTGTTTTAACAAGCAATACATATACTAGGATGTTCCAAACGACTGTATCCTCAGTCCATAATTATTACGACTGTATCTATTCGTATTTTCCACTGCATTTAGACGTGCCTCTTCGGCCTAAAATACCATGGTGTGTTCGACCAACTACACCTTTTCAGATGAAGAACAACACGTTGACATGTTATGGTGAACAACTTACATTTGAAGCACTGAAAGTACGAAACACATCTGTTGATGATTTATTTCAGTGGCAAGCAACTATCGATACAATTGATGCATACGCAAAATACCTTGAAGAAAGTAATGGATTGGCTGATAAAGAAATATATTGTAATTGTACAGACAATGAGTGGTTTGGTTCAAGATGTCAGTATTCGATCGAGAACGCAGTTTCCCCAGACTTTGATCAGATTTTACACCATCGCTTTCTTCTTAAATTAGTATTTCTCAGCCAGTGGGGTTTAACAGCTGGCAATATTACGTGTTATAGAGATTGGATGTGCAACCCTCTAGCATTATGCTTTGATTGGAGGCAAATATGCGATGGAATAGTTGATTGTGAAAATGGCGAAGATGAAGAACATTGTATGGAATTGGAAACAAATACATGTCATATGGAAAAGCAGTATAGATGTCGCAATGGTATGTGCATTGAGAGAAAATTTGCTTTTGATCAAATATGGGACTGTATGGATGGAAGTGATGAATTTAACAGTACGATATTCGACTGTTTAACTACGCCATCCATACAATGTGAAGAATTCAATTGGGTAGGACGAAACTTTCCCAATACAGATCTGCAACTTCTGGTGAATTCAGTAGATGAAAGTACGCGTAATTATTTATATCATGAAGACCTTCTTGTTTTTCGTGAAAACAGTAGCTGTGTGTTCGGGAAATACATAGTGTGTGGTTTCAGAATACGTTCTCTTCATAAACACGTAGTCTCTGATGGATGTGATAGTTTATGTGTACATTCAGACCCAGATTGTACATCAAAGATTGTAGAAAATTGTTCTACTCCCTTTTTCTTCCCGACAAACAGTGTTGCATTTCCAGGAGTACGGTTTCTATATTTTACAAACACCACACAATGGGACCATAGTTTACCAGAATATATCTGCTACAATGATACTTTGTGTACCTCATTTCCAACTACTGAAACCATACATGGTCATAGATGTCGTGCTTCGGTTGATATAGGGCTACCTTCGGAAGAATCTAATTATATTGCGTTCTATGATAGAATCGCTAAGCTTTTTTCATCTTGTTATATTAGCAATGTATCTTGTTCTTCTCATCCGCTGTTATTTAAATGTAATCTTACTAACATTTGTATATCAAAATATCGTTTAAATGACTTTCATAGTGATTGTATTAGTGGTGATGATGAAAGCGAGGAGAATGTTCAAGATCTTCATCTGACGGATCGCATGCCATGCTTAAACAAGGACCCAGATAAAGACCTTACTGTTCCACGTTGGTTATATAGTAATGCTCGTTGCATTTCTAATATCCGTTGTGAGAAAGCGACTGATGGTGGTTGTGGTGTGTTAAGATCTGTGGATCCTATTTCACCCTTTCATTCGTTATTTCGAGAAATCTGTAACGGTGTTGAAAGTAAAGCTTTAACAGTCGATAATGAAACAGACGAAACAAATTGCTATGAATTTTATCATTTATGTAGTGCAAAATACAGATCGGGCAATACACATTGGGATTGTGTAAATGGTTTTGATGAAATCTGTAATGGAAACCCGAATATTTGCGATAAAAAAGGTCATTTTTGTTTAAGACTGGACCCATTTTCAAACACTTATTTAGACATGAAATATGCCGGCGACGGTTTTATTGACTGCGTTGGCGGAAGCGATGAACGTCTACAACATTGTCCTCAAGCCTATCCAACAGAAATACGACGTCGATTCCAGTGTTTGAATAGTACTATTTGTTTGTCAGTTGATACACAAATTTGTGACGGTGTTTTCAATTGTCCTTTGGAAGATGATGAACATATTTGCCCTCCGAAAAATACGTCAGCCTGTGAACCAGGTCAATTTATATGTCGGCTTGGGAAATGCTTGGATATGCAATATCGCTGTGATGGCACGAATGATTGCGATGATGCAGAAGATGAATTGTTTTGTGATTTGATTGACTTTAGGCAGCTGCCTAGTTCTGTCGACCTCAAGAATGATTTTAATCAGTATCCGTTTCGCGATGAAATGGTATTTTTAACTGTGAGTGATCAAAGTCATGAACAGTTAGAAAATAATATGATTTTCCCATCAAATTTAAACAATATGTATGCCAATCCAAGTTATATCGCCAATACGTATTATTGTAATCGTGGCTTTGTGTTTAAGTCGAGAGACGATACAGGTGATGTATGTTTATGCCCTCCAAGTTATTATGGCGATCGTTGTGAATATCAAAGCGAACGATTGACGGTTTATCTGCAGGCTGAAATAGCTAAAAGATTAGGTCATGTTGTTTTCAAATTGTTAATTTGTCTGATCATCGAAGATGATTCTGCTGCTACTTGTGAATATGTCATTCATTATACTCAAAGTGAGGTATTCAAACATATTGTCTATTTGTTACATTCAAGACCAAAGACATCTGTTGATAATTTCTCCATTCGTATTAGTGCATTCTCAGTAACATCGCGTAATGTCACGTTTTATTCATCTTGGTATTTTCCTATTGCATTTCAGTTTCTACCAGTTAATCGTTTGACTGCTTACCTCATGATAAATGATAGAAGTGAGATAGTGTTATGCGGAAGTTGTCTACACGGAGTGTGTGTTGCTTACATAAATTTTATTGATAAATCTTTCTGCCTTTGCGATCAGAATTGGCAAGGATCTAAATGTGATATTCCATCGTCAGTCACATGCGCTGATGGGTCACGGCCAGTTGAAGAACAATGTTTGTGTACACTTGGACGAATTGGACTCGGTTGTTATATTCAAAATGATACATGTAATGCAAATAGTTGTAAAAACGGTGGTACATGCTTTATGGTTGGAGAAACTTTTGATCGTACTTGTTTTTGTCCTGAAACATATTTTGGCGATTTGTGTCAACACATTAAGGCTCAAGTGTTAATTGATTTACTCAACCAACCGTCTGATCTATCGATTCTTCGAATCCCCATTGTTCTTGTCCATCTTGTCGATATTGACAATGCTACAGGCCTATTATCATTAAAACTTTGTTCAATTTATAAAAATGTTCCACTTCACACAACCATATCCGCTTTATATAATCAAGAACTGTTACCAGCATTCATTTATGTTCAGTTATTTTATAACACAAATACATTCTATGGTTTATACCATCTAGTTGGTTTTATTCGTCAAGTAAAAAGATTACAAACAAGTGTGTTACCATCAAACCGTTGCCCACATGTTAGTGAACTACTGAATAAAACTATTAACGACTTTCCGTATTTGAAACGCGTCAAATTTTATCAGAGAGCATGCTACACTTTGGGTATAAAATGTTTTTTTGATGATCAATACATGTGTCTTTGTGATAATTTTGTTCATTACGATTGCTTATGGTTTGATCATAATGCAAGTAACTGTACCGACAGAGGCTATTGCTTAAATAAAGGCCATTGTCTTCAACCATCACAAGGTATTGGAGAGTTTGATTTTGCCTGTCTTTGTGCGGCGTGCTATTACGGTGAATTGTGTCAATTTACAACAGCTCAATATTCACTTTCGTTAGACGCACTGATTGGTCCAGAAATTCTGCCAGACAAGATGTTAAACCATCAACCTATTCTCATCAAAATAACATTAACAGTTGTGATTATATCAGTGACATTAGGTTCGATTGGGAATTCATTGTCAATAATAACCTTCTACCAGAAACAAATGCATGTAGTAGGTTATAGATTGTACTTTATTTTTTTATGTATTACAAGCCAATTGGGATTACTCGTTATTGGTGCCCGATTCATTTATCTTGTTATAACTCAGCTTAGTAGGTGGGAAAATCAATGGTTGGCATATATTGCATGCATTACACTGGAATTTTTACTTTCCGTCTTACCATCTGCATTTGATTGGTTAACAGCCTGCATTGCAATTGAAAGAGCTTTTATTGCCGTCAAAGGTGTTCAGTTTGATCGAAAGTTGAGTAGACAGTTATCAAAATACGTGCTAATTCTTGTTGTTACCCTGACTGTTGCTACGTCGTTGCATGAGCCATTTAGTCGTGAATTAATTGACGATCCACGTTCAAATGGTCATTCATGGTGTGTAATGAAATTTAAGTTTCATTGGCTAGAAAAGTATGAAACTGTTACAAATGTTATCCACCTAGTAACGCCATTTTTAATTAATTTAGTCTCTACTGTCGTATTTTTAATTAGTTTAGCGAGAAGAAAATCAGCATCAACAACGAATGCTGACAGCTATTATACGACGTTGAAAAAACAAATTGTTTTGTATAAGCCATTTGTGATTAGTCCCTTCATATTGATTATTTTAGCACTACCTCGCCTTGTATTATCATTTGCGTTTGCTTGTATTAAGTTTTCATGGCAAAAATATGCATACTTAGCAAGTTATTTCGTTTCATTTATACCACTGATGGGAGTATTACTCATTTTCATACTACCAACTCCGACGTATAGAAAGGAATTAAAAAAACTGTTAAGCCGCAGTTTCACTCGGTCAACACAATGTTTTCACAGATCGTGAGTTGTACTAACCGATCTACAGAGATATTTAGCTAAGAAGATGAGTTTTAAGATCATTATGACTGATATTGTTTGTCAGACAACTTGTTCTTTCGATGATTAACATACTTTTTGACATATGCGTCTCTCGCAGAGTGTGCAGTCTTGGAAAATTATTCTTCCTTGCTTACATTCGAATATTCTGGTATGATCAGTCAATGTTGATATCTTTTGCAAGTGATTTTCGTAGATATGTGATCACTGTATAGATAGATCTTTTAAAAATTAATTTGTAGTATACAAATAAATCAGGCGTTTACTTTGTGTTTAGAATGCTGCAAACATTTGTAGTTGTAAAATGTTCCATAGAATGAAGTTGTTTTCTGTTGTTGTTTATACGAAAAATCTAATGTTGTGTAATACTATTTTATGTAATATTTTTTATGTGTGTTTCCTTTTTCTAGCTGAATGTTTGAACTTTATTTATATATTTGAATAGTGTAAAAGAATGATCTTAGAAAACAGTATGACGCAAATTTTAAGGCGACGACCAGATCAAAAGAAAACAAGAAAATTTAACACGCAGCTTTCAAATAAAATGAACTAATAATTACTTATTATTTTATTTCTACTCGCTTCAGCAGTTACTTACAGTATTGAACCAGAGTTACGTATGATTTCGCATATTCTAGTGTATGCTATTACTAATAATGGTTGGAGACTAGACGTAAAAATTCTCATCAGTCAATTCGTTGCATCGAAAAGAACTCGATCAGTTATGACGTCTTTGAATTATTCTCCTGCAAATCGATTTTACGCACTGAAAAAATTAATCAAAATTCTGCCAGATCTCGTA